GGAAAGCCCGAAATCAGCAATCTTAATATTGTTTTTATGAATAAGTAGATTGTTTGAATGCTATATAATAACATTGTGAATAATAAAATCATAAATATTAGAATATAAGATTTAAACTAATGAAATTAAATTAGATCAATATTTTATAGATTATTATTACAAGATCCCTATGTATAACACCAGCGGAATGCATATGCATAATGGCTTCTGCAAGCTGTTGGGCTAAATGGAGTTTGTCGAACCAACTAAGGTTTTGGTTTTCTTGTAAATAATGCCTTAGAGTACCACTGTCGGCAAATTCTAATACTAGTACATAGCTAAGCTTGCTATCAAATTTTGCGACTAAAGCAATAGATCTTAAAAATAAGTAAAGGTGATTCATTTAAAGATTCAAATCATAAAAGCTAATATAACCTTGCGTTTTAGAGAGTCCATAAACTTGTATAATTTGATCATCAATGCCCATTTTCATTTGTAGTTTAATCTGAATTGGTTGTATTATTAATAATGTTAACTATAGTATGTTTGCTGAACTAGTTCACTCTGAAATTACCTCTCTTAATATAGTTTTATGATATGCCTCGTCATTTCTTCGAAAACTTTCAACGCAATGTATTCTGTATCTAAGCCAGAATCGATTAATTTTGCTTTGTGTACGGTTGCAAATGTACCAACACCGATTGTTTCGAGAACTTCAAATTGTTTGAAATCATAGTATTTTATATCTAGGTTTTCTAAATCACTTTCAACACTTTCAGCGGACATAATTCGAAACTTATAAAAGAATATTTAATAAAACAAGATTCGACCATATTTGAACCAAATTAAGATATCTAACATAGTATACAGGTGATACAATGTTGTGCTTTAGTGATATTTCAATATTTTTGTTCTTCACGGAATTTTCTCTTCTAAATGAACACAATTTTTATAACCAATAATACATTTGTAGCATCTGAATAACCGTAAATACTTGCTATTTATATATTTTTTGTTATTTAATATATGCTTAAAAGACATGCTTATAAAAATTTGTAAATTATGTGTTTATTATTTGGGATCTTTGCTAGGAAAATCACCATCCGATATCTTCCGATCGGGTCAATTCGGACAACCTGGACCAACATACCAATTATTACCTGTATGTAAATAATCTTTTGCCTATAAACTATTGAATTAATAAAAGGCAAAAGATGATTTGCATGCAAGAACCGGTATGTTGGTCAAAGTTTGTCCGAATTAGCTCGAATGGAAAATGCCGAAGTATGATTTTCCTAGTAAAGATCCAATGTATCTAAGCCGAATGATATTCATGAGCACGTTTAAAATGTGTGCCTGCAGACTTCATCACAAAATACATTTTTTATAAAACTTATATAGCTCTAGAAAGTTATGTAAATGTTTTATAAAATTTTTATATAGATTTACAAACCCAATGTAAACTTATATAGTT